ATTCTATTCTATTCTATTCTATTCTATTCTATTCTATTCTATTCTATTCTATTCTAAGGTAAATTGACATTTAGCTTAATCTGTGGGCAAAGGAAGACAACCTCAAGCAGAAAAGAGGGGTGGATGATTTCTGAGCTGCAGAACAACAATACTGATGGAAATTCCACACAGAGTAAGCTTCCTTTTTTAATGTTAAGTGACTCGTTGGCTAGGAAACTGCCCCCAAATGAAAATCAATGCAAACAGAAAAAGATCCTTTTGATGATTGCATATATTTGCTATCAACTCCTTTTACATCTGGAAAGTCCCTTCCTCTTCTTGTTTTATCTCTTTGGAAAGCAATGAAGGAGAAGATCGATTTTCCTGGTCAATCTTTACAGTCTTGCTTGTCCTTTGTTTTTCTCAGCAAACTTGATAATTGTGTCTGCTTATACTTCTTTTAACAGATGCAGGCCCACAATCTCTTTCTGGCAACTGCATTTTCTTCCAGCTAGGGCTGGTCAGAGTTTTTCTTTTTTAGCCTTTTTAAAATGGGACTGGCCTTTTAATGTCTACCTGGAGGCGTTGCTAAATTATAGGTTTAGTTGAAAAAGTCTCCACAGGGTTTCTGTGCCAGGCTAGAAATAAGCAGTTGTGGCCTCCATTTTATGACCTCTTCGCTCTCTCTCACCTACAGTACTGTTTTAAAACTAGGTTTCCTAAACAAAGGATATATGCATCTTTGCAAAAAGGATTATTTGCAAGATTCTTTGGGACAATTCAAAGAATGCAACTAGTATACTATCAATATTATCTAGTCCAGTGTTTTTCACACCTGGCAATTTAAAGATGTGTAGACTTCAACTTCCAGAATTCCCCAATCAACATGGAATCTTAAATTTGCCAGGTTTGAAAAACAAGTTCAAACAAGTCCAACTGATCTGCAATGCAGGAGATATCTTAAGCATTCTTCATTGATGGCCAACCAGTCCCTATTGAGATACATCCTGGAAAGAGGGCTTATTTATACTATATTTGAGGTACCAATTACTGTACATGGTGGCAAGAAGATATTGAAAAATCTCGTCTTGGGTGTCTGGAGTTCTCAGCCTTATAGGCTTATAATTTCCTAAGGCTTGTACGACCCTGTTCCAAAACAGATGGAAAATCTCCAGCTTATTTCATTTGGGGAGCAGTTAATGCTTTTCTATACATTAACAAGACCTTCTTAAAATGGGAATCACAGCCCTGGAAAAGGGGATAATCCAAAGGATTAGAGCATAAAATTAAGGAGAAAAGTTTAATGTAGCACAGAGGTCCCAATTTAGCAACTTTAAGTTAGGTGGACTTCAACTTCCATGTTGGCTGGGGAATTCTGGGAGTTGAAGTTCACCTATCTTAAAATTACCAAGGTTGGGAGACCTGTGCAGTAGAAATCAAGGCTGTGTCAAAATAATCAAATGGCAGCTACAGCGGCACAATAGAAGCATATAAAAATGGCATAACTTTGGTTGCACCATTGTGACGTTTTCTTGATTTTAAAGGACCAGAAAAGCAGAAAAGCAAATTACAGGCCGTTAAAAGGGAAACATCTCACTCAGCATCAGGAACCTTTCAGAGTCAGGCTGGCCTGGGCAACTTTCAACTTTTAAAGCCGTTTGACTTAACACGCTGACACATTAAAACAAAATAAGGCCTCAAAAAGAATGACATCTATGTTTTTGAATTCAAGAAATAATCTTACATTTTGAGATTTATTTATTATATATTTTTATCCCACCCTTATTTCCTTATAAGTAACTCAAGGTGATGAACATACCTATTATTTAATTAAATGTTCCCCACAACAACCCTGTCAGGTTGGTTGGGCTGAGAGAGGGCTACTTTGGAGTCTGGGATCCAGAGTACTTGACTCTTTAATTCACCCATCCAGCACCCCAATTGGCTTGACAGATAACAGATAATCAGAGTTGGAAGTGACCTCGTAGGTCATCTAGTCCAACCCCTGACCAAGCGGGAGATCCTATACCATTTCTGACAAATGGCAGTCCAATCTCTTCTTGAAGGTCTCAAGTGATGATGCTCCCACAACTTCCGAGGGCAAGCTGTTCCATTGGTTGATTGTTCTGTCAGAAAGTTTCTCCTTATTTCCAGGCTGAATCTCTCCTTGTTCAGTTTCCATTCATTATTCCTTGTCTGGCCCTCGGGTGCTTTAGAAAATAGCTTGGCCCCTTCCTCTCTGTGGCAGCCCCTCAAATATTGGAACACTGCTATCATGTCTCCCCTGGTCCTTCTCTTCACTAGACTAGCCATGCCCAATGGGTGGCACAATGGGAACCCACAGAACCTGGGGAGGCACTAAATTCAAGAGGCACAAACTAAAAGTTCTTCCCTTGGTATGTTATAGTAAGGATCAATAAACCAAATGAACTACTTTTATTTTTGGAGATTTGTCAGCATCTATTAGCCACGGTAGCTAAAACAGAACCTTCCTATACAGGGGCAGTCTATCATAGTTTTCTAAGACACTGGCAAGTACCAACACAATGGGTACAGATGGCATGGAAAAATTGCTCCAACATGAGTCTGAAAGCTTGCAAGAATAAACCTCTGGTCCCAGTGATCAAGTTAGATTGGATCTTGCAGAATTTTTTTGTTATTTTTACTTATTTATTAAAGTTATATGCCACCCATCTCAATATAGCTATTAAATTGCTATTCCCAACCCAATTTGAAGGTTGCTGGATCAAATGGGATGTCCCCTACCTTCTTTTGGCATTACAATTCTAAGAATTCCTAGCATAGTGGATGGCTGGGGAATTCTGGGAGCCTGCTGGCTAGGGAATTCTTGGAGCTGAAGTCTACACCTTACAATTGTCACAGTGGAGAGACACTGCTTTAAACTGATGCACCAGGGCTCTGCATTCCTAGGGCTTTAGCTACCATGAAAGTAATCAACATTCCAGCATACCACCTGCCCCCAAGGATCATTCATTCCCCATTGCCCCCACACATACCATGTTATCTAAGCAGCCCATCAAAGTGGCATTAAGTCTCTTCTTGCCCTCTTTGGCCTGGTTCAGTTGCTTCTGCAGGTCTTTCTCCCTCTGTGCCAATTTCTCCAGTTGTTTCTCTCGCCTGGTTCTTTCCTGCTCCAGCTCAGCCACCCGCAATGTCAGGGCTGCCGTCTCGTTCGATGCCCGCTCCTGGCATCCTCTCAGCTGGCGAGCCGCTTCAGACTGCCTCACCATCACGGCCACCGAGATGGTCACCGCAGCCACCAGGAGCAACAACAGGGCACACAAACCCAGCACTTTCAGTGTGGCTCGCGTGGCCGAGGGTTCCATGGCTCGCTCAGGAGAGGTTTCTTACAATCACTCTCTTGTTGATGTACTACGAGCTCTGCCTGCTTTTCGTTTGCTAAAATTGCTCTGCGTGGGCCTCCCCAAAGTAAGAGAAACCGGTCATTTGTGGCTTACCACAAACCACAATAAACAGATCATAGTAGTGTTCGTTGCAATATGTTCAGCTATGAGCAGACTAGCATCTGTCAGAAAGATCATCTTAAGAGTCCAGAGAAGCTCAAATGTAACTTCTTTGTTAATTGATAACCCACATTTTTTCTGCCTTTTTTTATCCAAAGCGTAGAGTACAATTTCTTTGTTTTGTTTTGGCCAATTTTAGACCCTAAACCTAGGAGTCATGCTTTTGAACTTGTGTAATGTTGCCAGCCTCTTTCCTAACTGGCAAAAGTGATGGTAAACATCCTTTTGACAGCCAGTTTGGTATAGTGGTTAAAGTACTGGCTTAGAAACCAGGATACTTGGATTGAGAGTTCTAGTCTGACCTTATGCATGAAAGCTGGCTGGGTGACTTTGGACCAATTCCCAGGAGACTGTGAGTTCTAGCACCGTCTTAGGCACGAAAGCAGCGTCTTGGCAACTGGATCATATGTGTTTATGATGTTTGCAGTGTCCCTTGCTTGTCAGAAGGTCACAACATGTGATAACATGACCTCAAGACCCTGCAATGGTCATAAATATGAACCAGTTTCCAAGCATATGGATTTTGATTGTATGACCATGGGGATGGTCGTGAATGTGAAAAACGGTCATAAGTATTTTTTTTCAGTGCCTTTGTAACTTCAAATCTGGGTCTTTAGTACCATTTTTCAGGTCTGTTGTAATCCAACACTCGTTAAGTGGCCAGTTGCAAGTCAAATTCTGAAAATATAAGCATGATGTTGCTTACAATTAGCTTATACCAATGTATATGCTTCCATGATTGGTTCATGGCAATGTACGCTTTTCAAAATTGCATAAAAGGCAGGGTGTATACTCCAAGCAGTAGTGTGCCCATTTTGGAATCTGCTTCTGGGTAACCTTTATATTTGCAAATAACACTGCAGTTGTTAATTGAACTATGCAGACACATGACAATGGCTATGCTGTTTTAAGTGTAAAAGCCAGTCATAAGTTACCTTTTTCAATGCTGTTGTAACTTTGAATGGTCACTAAACTAATGGTTGTAACTTGAAGAAAGCTGTAACTGAAGTATGACTGTGTTTTCTGGAGACATCCGTGATGCTGGGAAAAATGGAAGGAAAGAGAAGTGGAGGAGGACTAACAAGATGGATGGTCTCAATGATAGCAGTGATATGTACCTCACTGAAAACCTGATGGACCAGTTTGGGGCATCATTATTTAGAACAGGGGTACCTCCAATCTTAGCAATGCTAAACTTGGAGACTTCAACTCCCAGAATTCCTCACCCAGCTTACTAGCCACAGGACAATTTCACAATAAAATTTAATTATTCAAAATAAATAAAAAAATATTTTAATTTTTGTCATTCACATTTAATTCAATCCCTCCTTTTGCATTCTTTAACAATTCTATTCCACCATTTCTTTGATATTAGTGTAACTCTTGTCTCACAGCGAATTGTCCTGTAGCAAATTGGCCGTGGTGAGTTGGCTGTAGTGAGCTGACCATGGCAAATTGACATAGACCCATGGAAACTCTCTTTCTTTTGGACTACCTGATTTTGGGAAAAGCTGCATTTTCTAGAATGCCTGTCCCACAATTTAAGGCACACATTTGGCTTGCAACTTTCAGGGAACCATCTTAGTTTTGCATTTTCCAAAGCTTTTAGCTACCTGAAAACACCATCCTCTTTTTATGTTTGCACAAACCTTAAACTTGCAATACACTTCTCTCCAAGAAGGCACTGAACACATTTATTTGTTTTATTTAAATTTCTTACCCGCTTGATGCAAAACAATCCAAAAGGCAAAGTAAATGTCAAAGTGCAGAAGAGAGTTAAAATAACATAAAATTACAATTAAGGTGCAAGCTCTGCAGATCAGGCAAAATTATGCATGTTACATGACATGCACATAAAGCTGCATACAAACTTTAATATTAAAAAAAAATCAAAAGTAAGGCAAAAAGTGAATATAGTGGAGTTCAAATCTCAAAGCTGACAGAAATCACAACTGTTTCATCCCTTTCTTTCCTAATTCTGGGTAGACACTTTAACATGAATAAAGTATTATGAAAATACTTATTGCCTTTCCTTTATTTCAGGAGAAATAAAATAATACTTTAAGCATGGCTGAAGATTTGGGGAGGGTTATAGGGGAGGAATCACATTGTTGGGTTAAGCAAGGTACATTTCTGGATAGTCTTAAAAATTCTTATCAAGGACTTGCTCCAAATTTTGGTTATATAGCAGGGATGTCTGCAAGGTGTGGTTAAAAAAAATCAAAATGGTGGCCAGATGGTATTGCAAATACATGAAGTGGATTTGTGACTGTGGCCACCATGCTTATTCTTTTAACCACATGCTGCAGACACCACTGTATTCTAGATCAGTGTTTCTCAATCTTGGCCATTTGAAGAGGTGTGGACTTCAACTCCCAGAATTCCTCAGCCAGCATGATCACATGGCTGGCTGGGGAATTCTGGGAGTTGAAGTCCACACCTCTTCAAGTGGCCAAGGTTGAGAACCATTATTCTAAATAATGTTAACACCCTTATCTCCCAGATGATATGATAGATATGGCATCAGACTGCACCAAGGAGGCCGCTGATATGAAAAGGCAAAGCATTGGTTGTTTTCATATTGTGCCATGTAACGTCCACCTGTGCTTCTTAAACCTGAAGGGTGACAATAGTGGCGATCAATATGGAGAGTAGGCCAATATGGAGATAGATTTGTTGACGGGAATCAACAGAGTCGGGTATCAACAATTGCTGCTCCTGCAAATGGACAATCACTTCCTTTTGGCGATTACTATAAGAAAGACAAAAACAGAAAGTCAGTCAAGCAAGTCTATGGAGAAGAGTTTGGGCTGTGTAAATGAAAGGATACATGGAATCCTTGTATGGGGGAAAGGGGTCAAAAAAGTTTAAGACTGCAGCCATACAATTGAAACTCCACAGTGTGTGGAAAAGGGGAGAGGGACTTCTTTGGCATCGCCCACAGATGCTCCTGAAAAGCTAACCTGATTTATAGAATAGTCCTCCTCACCTTTATTATTTTGTTGATCCGGATATTGATCAGGTAAATATTTGTAAAGTATCCAAAGCTGCTCTGGGTAGTGAAATGCGTGGTATATAAATTTAATTAATAAATAATTTAATAATAAATATATGTGAGGGCCATTTTTTCAGTTCAGTAGTTACAGTATATGCATTAAATGAAATGAATTAGTTAATAAATTTATTTGTTTGCCACACATCTCACCTTAATTGCAGAATATAACTCAGATAGTACAATGCTGATTAAATCTTAAGTTGGATCTTTACATTCAAAACAGAGTCCTACCCCACCCCAATCGTCATATTATCCATAAATTATAGGTAGACTTATGATCACAATGGAGCCTAAAATTTCTACTTGCTAATCAAGACAGTTGTTAACAATCTGAGAGAAGAGAAGAACTTTATTGTCATTGTACAAGTACAACGAAACTATAGATGCACCCCAGCAACTGTTCGCAATACAATAAAACCAGAGCACTTAAAAATGAAGAAAAATAGAGTACCCACGTCTCCATTTGCAAATTAGAGAGTACAATATCTACAAATATACACAAAATATACATCCAACACTGTGACGCTTTGCCGAGTATAATACACAAGAGATGGATTGTACTGTAATATGTTATTATACATCTGAATGAAGTATTGAGATTTCACATCTTTTCACATCTTAATAAGGTAGTGACTTTGTGTTTATTTGCGGTTCAGATGGCTCAGGGAAAGAAACTGTTAGTCTAGTGGTGTGAGATTTTATTGACCTAAAGCGCTGTCCACATGGCAGGTCAAAAAGATAATTGCCAAGGTGTGAGGGGTCTTCTATGATGGCTTTGATTCTGCTTTGGCAGCGGGACCTGACTAAGTCTTCCAGGGAGGGCAGAGGGCAACCAATGATCTTTTGAGCTGTGTTTATCACCCTCTGTACAGTTTTCCTGTCCTCAGCTGTGGAGCCTGCATACCACACACCCAGACAGTATGTCAGAGTGCTCTCCACAGAGGCTTTATAGAAAGCCAGCAACAGCTTCTTATCCAGATTGTTTTTCCTGAGAACTCGCAGGAAGTGAAGCCGCTGTGAGCCTTCTTCACTATGGCCTTGGTGTTAGGGGACCAGGAGATATCAGCTGAATTATGGATGCCAAGGAATCTGATCGTAGGGACAGTTTCCACTTGTTCTCCGTTGATGATGAGTGGGATGTGGTCCTGTCCATGTTTCCTGAAGTCCATAATCAGTTATTTGGTTTTATGGACATTCAATGATACATTGTTCTGTGAACACCAGGCAGACAGGTTCTCTACTTCTGCCCTATATGCCATCTCATCCTCTCCGGAGATGAGACCAATCACAGTCGTGTCATCCGCAAACTTTATGATGGTTGTTGCGTGGCTTGGTAAGCGGTCAAAGGTGTACAAGGCATATAGCAGGGGGCTCAAGACACAATCCTGGGGGGAACCAGTACTGAGTGTAATAGTAGGAGAAAGGTGGGGGCCAAGTCTAAGAGGCTGTGGTCTGTCTGTCAAAAAGATATTAATTCAGGAGCACGTGGGGGTGGGGACCTGCAGATTATACAGTTTGTTACTAGTATATCTGGGATGATAGTGTTAAACGCAGAGCTGTAGTCCACAAAGAGCATCCTCACATAGCTCTGTTCTCCAGATGACTTAGCGCTCTATGAAGTGTGATGGCCACAGCACCCTCGGTAGATTGGTTTGCTCTATAAGCAAACTGATGTTGATCAAAGGAAAGAGGGAGGCAGTCTCTGATGTCAAACTAGTCGCTCAAAAACCTTCATAATGGAGCTTGT